GCTCATCCTTCCCAGGAGCAAGTCCCCACCTCAATGAAACTGCATAGCAGAAATTGGGGACATTTACATTTCCTAGAGAATGGGCAATTCCCTTAAAAAATAAATTGGCACTCTGCTGAAGTTTGAATGTGTTCCTATGGGGATGACTGATATCAGTCCTTGCTGATATAGTAAACACCCATAGATTTATTGGGATTGGAGCTGCTAAATTCTATAAGTAGTGTATTATCTACATGTATTTTTTTTAGGCTTAAAGGTCATAGTAAAGGGCTTGAGTAAAATTATATTTAAGTATTATAGGTCTTTAAAAAATATCTTATTCTTCAAACAGGTATGGAATTATCTTTGAAGCTTATTCATCATTTTAATGGCCAAAGCCAATGCTGGAATAATACAATAACCCTAAAAATTATTTTCTATGGTTGATCTAAAAAATTATTTTCTTTGGAAATAAGTTTTTTGGGGGGTTCTTTTATATCTTTCTTTCAAATCTAACAAAACTTGCAGTCCACACAGAGAAGTTTACATACTAAGGTCTTCTTTCACTGAAATCAAGCAGTGTGTTGGCTTGTGAGGGATGCAAAGGAAGCAGTTCCTCTGTGATCTGGTCTGTTATAGGGAAACAACAGTTAGTCCTCAACTTACAATTGAGCTCAAAATTTATGTTCCTAAGTGCGAAATTTGTTAAGTGAATTTTGCCCCATTTTATGACTTTTTTGCCACATTTGTCAAGTGAATCATTTAGTTCTTAAATTAGTAACACAGTTAAGTGACTTCCCTAGTGACTTTTGCTTGGCAGAAGATTGCAAAAGGTGATCACATGACGCCAGGGAACTGTAACCATCATAAATGTGAGTCAGTTGTCAAGCATCAATGTAAAATCACATGACCATGGGGATGCTGCAACGTTCGTAAGGGAAAAACATTGATAAGTCACTTTTTTCAGTGCGGTTGAACTTCAGTCATTAAGAGAACTGTTGTAAGTTGAGGACTATCTGTATTTTCAAAAATATTTACAATATTTGCAAGGTATGACTTAAGGGGGAATATGAGTACACTTAAGCTAAGGAAAAGATGCATAGGTCCAGTCCTGCACAGATTTGCAGAAGGGCATTGTTATTTGTAAGCCACCTTTGAAATAAACGTGAGGGTAGTTATTAATACTGTGACTCAGAAAATCTAAAATTCAGAGGGAAATCATTAAGAGTCCTGCTTTTTGAAGAAATATGTAGAAACATCACATTCTAAGCACCTAATTTCCATTGATTAAACTCCAGCAATATAGGTATTTAACAAATAATGTGTTTAAGTGAGTCATCCCATTTAAAGTCATTTCTTAATTGACTGCATATGTGTGTTGGCAAGAGTATTAAATGGAAATACAAGTAGTCCTTGGCTTGTTACTGCAATTGGGTCCAAAATTTCTGTTAAGCAGGGCAGTTGTTCAATCATGTCTGATTTTACAACTTTTTTTGACACACTTATGCAAATCATTGCAGATGTTAAGTGAATCATGCAGTATTAAGCAAACCCTGCTTCCCCTGTAAACCTTGCTGTTCCTCCTGCACGTTCTTTTCCGGTTGAGTACTTCTTTGAGGTGGCCATTTCTGACCACCGCTCCTACCGCCTTTGGGAAAGGGAGTTTGACCAGCTGAGGAGGAGAGATGCGGTTCTCCTTGACTCTGCTGGCAGTCTCCCCCTTCTTCACCACCTCTACGGGGTGGCTTAGCCCCGAAACCAGCCGGCTCAGGGCGCTCCAGCAGTGAGCCCAGGCAGAAACCGCGTACGATCGCGGATTCCTGCTTGTCGCCGAAGCCCTTCAAACCGGAAGTCCGTGCCAGCCATTTTTTTAAAGCAAGTTTACATTAACTTACATTACATTTTCACATAATGTGAAAGCTAAAACACGCTATTTACTTTATCATTTACCTTAAAAATGCTTCAACATGTTAAAGAAACTAAAATTGCTATGAAATATTTATGGAATAGTTATACAAAATTGGGAGGGGGGCAGAGAAATGACCATCAAATGCAAGGGTATAGAAATCTATATAGACCTTTAGGATAAATGTAAAAGCAGTAAGAACCTTTGACAATCTATATTTAACACTAGCTTCCAGGCTGTCTGCACTTCGAAGTAATATGTCTCTGCCATGTTTTATAGCAGTTCCCAGTGTTTGTTCCTAATCAACTAGACTCAAGTATCAAAAAGCTGAATAGTGGAACAGTTATTAGTTATGAATAGTAGCACGCCGATTAATACATTGATTTTCAACACTCACTTTATTATAGACAAATTTAATCACTGAAATTGTGTGCAGCAATATACAGGGTCCTTAAAATGGCACTTTCTATTAAAAATACTGAACGTACGTATGTACAGTTCCCGTATTTCACAGACACATTAATGACATGATAAAGAAACCTGTGTGATTGTTGAAATGGCATCAATAAGCCTTGCAAACTGCTATTTTTGACATTAATCAATATAGAAACGTTGCCATAAAAACACCTGGAAACCTGACATTGCATAAAGTTCATGCAGTGATTCTTAGCATATCAAAAAAAAAACACCTCCAAGTGCATTTTGTCATTTAAAGCAGTGATCCCCAACCTTTTTTATGCCGCGGCCCGGTACCGGCATCAGCTGGGCGCCGCGGCCCGGTACCGGCATCAGCTGGGCGCCGCCATCTTTTTTTGATGAAAAAGTGCTTCCGGTGACCTCACCAGAAGCACTTTTTCATCAAAAAAGATGGCGGTGCCCAGCAACCAGCGGCCCGGTAGGACTTGTTCCGCGGACCGGTACCGGTCCCCGGACCGGTGGTTGGGGACCCCTGATTTAAAGCATTTGCTTTGGAGTGATTGATTTTAAAAAGAGGAGCAACTGTTTTTAACATGGAAAAACATTACTTAGCCCTTCTAGTTGAATTAATAAAATTAATTTGTATTTGTTCCTGCAAAATGTTTGCATAAACAGCAAAATCTGATTTAGCAGTCACATCACATCAATTCAGGATATTTATGAAACATGGCAATAGTTCCATGTTATCAATCAATTGTTAATACCAGCTTGCCAGACCAAAAAAAAAATCCCCGAAGATTTTGTCATGTATTTCGCAAGCACATTTTCCTTTTATCTATGAATGTTATATTTATATACAACTAATACTCTATAATGCCCATTTTAGTATCCAACAGTAGCATAATAATTTTACAATAAGGCGTGGGTAGACAACTGCCAAAACAATGCACTGTATGTGATAAGTTTATAATTTTTGTTTTTTGTTAAAATTATTAAATCAAGGGCATAGGAAGATAAAGGTTGAGTAGTTATTAGAGGGAAATAATGTGTTTCTTATTCAACTCAGGTTTGCAAATCCAAATATATATATATTTTGTACTGATTCTTTGGAAAAAACTTAAAATCTTCCAAAATCTGATTTTCATAGTGAAGTTGCAACTATGTTAATTTTCATCATATCTAAATTAGTTAAAAACATTTTGAGGTGCAAATTGATTAGTGTTGTAAGGTAAAACCATTTAATAGGAAAACAAAACTATAAATATTTCACAGTATGTTAATTCTATGCCTAACTCCCGATTTCTCCTTACACTCATAATTTAGAAGTGGTTTATGTGCGCATTAACTAAATGTGAAAAATTCACAGGTGAATAATAGTTGTACATAAGAAAAACAAGACTAATGTAAGGAACAGTTCATTACTGAATTTCTATGTTCTAGGTTTTGCACTGCTTTTACATGATTAGTATTATAATATGAAGGGAAGACTTAATACTACAACTATGTTTTGACCCAGGCATAAAAATAATCTTAAATATTTTGCTAGACATAAACTTGAAGTGCCTCAACTGTATGTTAGGTATCAATCACATGAGAAATTTAATCACTTTCTTGAGAATATTGAAAGCTGCTGGAACTTTGAAAGCATTAAATGTAAACAAATCTGATTTTTGGGTCCAGATCTGGTCATAGTTGACACTCCTACATGTTGAAATAACCTGAGGATAAGTTGTGTATGAGTGATGTGTGCCTTCGTTTTCAGTTATTAGACCTTAAGAATGGCATAAGATTGGATCAAATAAATCTTGGGTCAGTTTTCCATAGATCCTTAACAATCTCTAAACTGATGAAACTAAAGATAAATTTCAAAAGCCTGAACATGTTCAGCTGCAATAAATCAAATCACAAGATTCACCCAAAAATAAGTATGGAGAGAAATGGCACTTAAAGGAGCTGTACTCCTGATCAAGTGTTCAATAGTCTATTTCAGAGTAACTTCTTATCTTGCTATTTACTTACTCCCTTCAGACAGAAACTCATAAAAGCTGATTTCATAAATTATAAAATGAAGCAATCTTATTTCAAATTATCTAGTCACTATAAGAGTCATATCCTTTTTAATAGATTGTCATAAAGATTAAGTTTTCTTTTGAGAAACAGCTAGCCTTTGATTCTGCTTTGTCCAGGACAGATTCCATGTGATTTGCAAGAAATCCATTCAGAAAGCTATTTCTTATGCAATGACCAGCTTTTGTGAAGGCATTTTCTTAAAAACTACCTAGTGCAAAAATACATTGCATTACGTGTAGAATTCAAATGTGCTTAGCCATGTAATAGCCATCCCGCTTCGATTTAGATGCAAATGCATCAGTGAAAAAAACTGCACCGATGTAATGCAATTCATTTTAGTTATTGCATCTAAGGATACCTGTTCTTCTAACTATTGGCCCAAGTTCCAGTTTAAATATTCAGAGTGGCATGTCTTATAATTTTATTGTAGGACTTTCACATTTCAGTGTACATGCCAAGGAGAAAACACAGTTGGGGGAGGGAGGATTCTCATTTAATGGTTTGATTCTGACTTAAAATATTGAGCTGATTCTGTAAGTAACAACACACATATAATATCAGACACATAGATTCTAGTCAGTGATCCAGGTGAACCCTGAAAAACAGGAAAGAAAACAAATGTCAACTAACCTGTTTAATTTAATTCATCAGACTCAGAATGGAAGCAGTACTGAGATGCACACTGTATCTTTTCAAAAGCTGTTAGGTAGTGGTTGTACATAGGACACCAGTCCTAGCCTCTGTTATATTACAAGACCAAACAAGGAAATTCAGATTTACATCCCAAATTAATATTTAACTTCAAATGAAACATTTGTGTGGCAATCAGATTTGAGTAGACAGGGTAGATCATGCCTCTAACACATGGCCAGAGATTGTTTAATCAGCAAGATCAGCTGATCTAATATCTCAAAGACGCCAGAAAGGATTAAATAGTTTTCTGCAGTTGTTTCAAAGAAATTAAGTTGTCAACAAACAAGATGGCAAGTTTAGCTACAGGGAAGGTGCAAGTCTGCGAGTCTGAAGTTCTTGGTTGCCAAACATCAGATGTGGGTTGAATTTATACCTAAAGGAAAAAAAAGAGACAAAAACAAGAAATGTAAGAAAAGGTCTTGCACGTTAAAAAATATCAGTAGAGAAATGTACATTACCAAATCTCTTGAGTTCTAAATAGTGTAGTCATTACAAATACTGGGATTAGAAACTGGAAGACCAGAAATTCTAGTCTTGCCTTAGGCATGAAGTCAGCGGGGTGACCTTGGGCCAGACACTCTTAGCCATCAGGAGGAGGCAATGGCAAACTATGTCTGAAAACATTTTCAAAAAAACTGCAGTTACTAGGCCAGGCAATCACCAAGAGTCAAGAGAAACTGAAAGGGAGGGAAACATGTATTATAGAGAAGTAGAGTATCATCCCCATTCAAAAAAAATCAAATCCCCTAAAATTAACAGAAAATGCTACAAGTGGCAGGTTTAGTCATTTAGACATTTAGTCCATTAAATCAAGGTTTCATTGTAATGCTAAAAATAACCAGATGCCCCATTTACAGGGCTTTTGATCTGTAAATGTTTATAGCTCTGTGCACATGCAGCATGAGAGACAAAGTGTGTTTATTTAATCAAATGTATAGAGCCACTCATTTCTTTTCTTTTTTTGAAAAAATACTTTATTAGTTTTACCTTTATAAGAACAACATAACTACAAATTATGTACAACAAAAAGACAAATAGACCTTGGCACAGGCCAAGAGGGAGAGAGAGGAAAGCCTAAGAGAGGGGAAAGGGAAGAGTAAGGGAGGGGAAGGATAGAGTAGGGAAAACAGTTAAAATAAAAACATATTTTGTGACTGTCTGTAAGATCCTTTCTTCTTCAAAAGTATCATCGGCGGTGCTTTTCTTTATCTCTGCTTCGGAGGCCCTCGGCCATAATTTTCCTAGAGGTGATCTATCTTTGGTTTAGCCAATTATACAAAGGATTCCAATTGTTGTAATAGGATGAGGATTCTTTATTTTTTAGTGCTTGGGTTAGTTTGTCCATTTCGGCGCATTGTAAAATTTTCTGAATAACCATATGTTCAGTGGGAATGGAAGATAATTTCCAGCACTGGGCAAATGCCAGTCTGGCTGCGGTTAAGATATGAATTACAATATACTTCGATTTTTTGGGTATTTGTTTATCGAAAATTCCTAGAAGGAAGGACTCTGGTTTGTACTCTATTTGTTCCTTGGTTATTTCCTCTAGCCAGCGCCTAATTTTTTGCCAGTACTTCTGGGTTTCCTTGCACGACCACCACAAATGGAAGAAGGTGCCACTCATTTCATATATATCTAGACAGCTTACGATACACACAGCCATTACCAAATCTCCACTAGGAGAGCAAAAGAAAATAAAAATGCCAAAATCCAAAGCAAATCAGGCCCAATAATAAAAAGGCATGAAAACCCCTTATCACCCCAAGTTTGCTTGGATCAAGAGCCAAGTCTTTAAGGCTTGATTAAGGGCAGCAGGGCCAAAACAATAGGAAGCTTTGCAGGGGGTATCATAGAGGGTATATGCCACAATAGAAAAGACATGCTTCCTGCAACCATCAGATGACATTGTATCAGAAACAGACCCCACAACTTGTCTCTCTGTTGGAACATTCAAGACGGGAACCATGAGAGAAAGGCAGTCCCTCAAACAACCAGGTTATAGTCCATAATGGGTTTCATAGGTCACAGCCAACACCATGAATCTCACTTGGAAGAACATTTAGCAGAGGTGTCTATCAAGGCACACCCATAATTGCTTGTACAGCAGGGGTGGGCAAACTACGGCCCGCGGGCCACATCCGGCCCGTTGGTCTGTCCAATCTGGCCCGCCCCTGAAAAAAAATCGCTGGCCGTGGCATATTGCCCTGCGCCGCGTGGCCCCCAAAGCTGCAAAACAGTGCGGAGCGCTCTTGGGGTAGGAAAGAAAAGAAGAACTTTGCAAAGGCCTCGGCTGGGAGTTCGAAATCACCTTCGAGTGCGACCTCTCCGAAGGTGAGTCCCCGCCGATCCCTCCTTTTTTTCCCGGGGCTTCCAGGCTTAAACTTTGCAAAGGCAAAGTTTGCAGGCGGGAGCGTCTTCCGGCCGAGGAGCGGAAAGGGTTCCGCCCGGCGGGCGGGCAGGCGGGCTGCTTGGAGCCACCTAAAGCTAGGCCGCTGCTGGTGGAGACTTGCCCTGCCTTGGTGCCCCGTTTCCCGGCTCGGCGGTCCTGCTCAGGCGGCACTTTAAAAGCCTGCTCCCAGCACCCGAGCAACTTCCAAGCAACTTGCGGCTTCCTTTTTCCTCGCGGGCGCTTGCGCCTGGCCCTGAGCTGCGCGGCGGAGGGGAAACCCGGAGCACCGCCGGTCGCCTCCTCCAAGCAGCTCGCCCGCCCACTGGGCGGAACCCTTCCCGCTCCTCGGCGGGAAGATGCTCCCGCCTGAAACTTTGCCTGTGCAAAGTTTAAGCCTGGAAGCCCCGGAAACCCGAGCAACTTCCCAGCAACTTTCGGCTTCCTTTTAACTTGCGGGCGCTCGCGCCTGGCCCCAAGCCGCGCGGCGGAGGGGAAGCCCGGCGGGCGGGCGGGCTGCTTGGAGGAGGCGACCCGGCGGTGCTCCGGCAGCAGCAACAGGCAGTTCCGCCCGGGCTCCACTCAGGTGTCCGGCTGGGGCTGTCAGAAGTTGCTACTGCCGGCGCAGCTCCACGCGGCTCCAGTCCCGCGTTGCTTTGGGAAGGAGAAGGCAAAACCAGGAGCCGCTGAGCCTGAGCCTCCGGTGCCGCTGCTGCCGTTGCAAAGCACCGCCGCGACTCTTTGCCTTTCCCTTCCCGAGGCAACACGGGACTGGAGCCGCGCGGAGCCGTGCCGGCAGTAGCAACTCCTGACTCAGGGGGACTCCGAGGGGAGGGGAAGGAGGAGAAGAGGGGGGGAAGGGTGGGGGGGCGATTCCCAAAAAATCTTGTGCTGACCCGGCCCGTCTGTCAAATTTTAAAAGTCAATGTGGCCCCCAAGCCAAAAAGTTTGCCCACCCCTGTTGTACAGCCACATTTTAAATCAATTACAGCTTCTGAGTGCTTTTCAAGTAATATTCACAGAGAATGTAATAGGTCAAGTGTTTGATCATTTAAGACATGACTGACTGAGGACCGAGTCTTAGTCTGGAAAAGATTGCAATAGGTGTACCTGATGAATTTGGCAAAGACAGCAGAGAATCCAGGAAAACCTCCAAAATGCACAGCAGTTTTATTTATGGAATTTAAGATGTCAAATCCCTCATACCAGAAAAACCAACAGCCCAAGAAAAACCAACAGCCTTATCGGGGTTGAATTTCAACCTGTTCCTCCCCCACTTTCATAGCCTCCATGCACTGTAACATGATCTTGATAGGAGTACTTGGTTGGCCTGGGGTTGAGATGTATAACAGAGCATCAGCAGCATATTGATGATACTGAACATAATAATTGAAGGAATATATTTACCCTGGATCAAAAACTCCTGGTGTGCGACACGTTGCTCCAGCACAGGACTGTAGCATCATTAGCCGATAATTCATTTTTTCTAAAATTTCTTGATCTATTGTTTTTGCAATATTAGTAATCTGGTGTGGGTCTGCAGTCAGGTTGTAAACTTCAACAAACACCTTCATGAAAGCAAAAGCAATGCTATTAGAAATACGTACTTAATTCTTCTGACAAATCATTGTGACTGAAGTTTCTTCCGAGTTCTAACATCTTAGTGAAGTTGTTCACTCAATTCAACCATTTTTTTCCCATGGATGAATGGAAAACCTAGCCTTGGATCTGATTAGCAGTTAATAATTATCTAAATGTTAATTTATTCATTCAAAGGTATTAGAGACACAGAAGACCCCAAAAAAGTTAGGTTCAAAGTGCTTTTCCCAATTTTTAAAACATGCACAGCCCTAGTAAATAAATATGTTAGACTTAAAAGATACAAAAATAATACACAACAGTTTCTATCAAAATGATGAATTCATGTAAGACTGAAACCATGTTGTGGATACAGTAAGGGTGGCTGACACAGCTGTTCTCATGCCTATAAGGCAGCAAGTCCAGGCCATCTGAAAATGCTAAGCAGAGGTTTGGAACTGCAGCTCTTTAGGCAAGAGCTGAAATTTAATTTTTCATTGCAATCTTAAATTTATCAATTGCTAGCTCTATACCCGTACTTTGCTGCGAAAATATGCGATCGGGCTTAGTTTTTGGGGAAGAAAATAGGGGAAAAAATCCTGCCTCTGGCTATCAGCATCCATCGGTATTCATCTGGCTAGTGTCCTGTCAGTGTGTGAGAGAGTTGAGGGCTATTTGGAAACTGAAAGAGTATTTGCTATGTGAGCAAGGAGACAGCAAGGAGCCTAGTAATGGCTCAACTGTTCTGTACTAAAGTTGGTTGCTGCTATGAAACTAAAACTGAAACTCCTTCCCTCTGCTTGTATGTTGCATTTGGAACAGATTTCTTTTCAGGTAGGGAGGGGGAGTAGAACTCCTTAGCATCAGAGCATGTTAATAATAATATATGAAATACTAATGCTCTGATGGTCACTTCAAAAAATCCTTTCTTAGTGAGCACCTAGAAGCCAAGAGGAACATACATGCCAAATTTCAAGTTTGTAGGCTTTATGATTCTGGAGATTTTGTGATGATGTGTGAGTGGTATTTCGCTTTTATATATATAGATTGCCATAAATATACTGCCTCCGTTGTTGATGACATCCAAAATAAGATTATAATGGAAGCTGCCTATATAGATTGTACATGCTAATCTCAGTCTTCCCTCAGCTATAAAGAAACTAGCTGTTAAGTCAGAACAGTCCTCTACTAAAAGTGTTTGCTGCTAATCAGTGGTGGGTTTCCAATTTTTTTCCTACCGGTTCTATGTGCGGTTCTATCGGCGTGCACCCAGAAGAGTCTAAAATCAATGTAGCACAGACATGTTTTTCTGAAAGCTAGCTGAGGCATGCCAAAACTGAGGCATAGGTTCACCATGTGTATAGTCCGTTACCTACGCTATTTAAAATATATGACAACACAATCAAATATTGCAGCAATATAATGTATTACTAACATTTAAATCTGTGAAAAATATTAGAATGATACATGGCTGCAAGTAAATTTTTGAAAGAGGGAAGTGGAAATAAAGTGTAATAGGAATATAAATAGGGAATTATTTGCTAGAAGAGAATTAGAATGACAATTCTCTTTGCTCAAAAATGTCTTTCTGGTATATCTTTACGTTCAGCTTGTGAAAGCAAATCATTGCATTTTATAAACTTTTTGAGATAAAATGTTGACATTATTTTTGAACCACAGAGAACAAACTTTTTCAATGGATGCTAATGGTTACTGTACACCTATCTTTTAAAGAAATAGAGCTTAAAAACTTCTGGAAAATATAGTATCTTTTTTAAAATGGCTCCTGCTACTTTACAATATTAAAATCAATAGCGATTATAAATCCAAAGAAGCCTTAGGAATCTTTGTAGCTGCTTTACTATAGGAAGCTCCAAAATGCATCTGATATGTAAATGCATAAGAGATCTTACAGAAACATCCTGATTTTTTTCTGCATGTATTTTACCAGTTTTAAAAGGCTTAATTCAAATCACTGTTAATTATAGAAGTATTATATTTTCATAAGGACTACCATTAACATAGAATTACAAAAACAAAGACAAAATTACCTCACGGTCATCAAATTCACAGTACTGCAGATTCCATTTATCCGATAGCGTCCTTACACATGCATAAGTATTGTTATATGCATCTTCACAAACACAGTCTGGAAAACAGTGCTATAAAAATAGCTAAGTGTTAGAATAATTTTAGTACCATTCAAATGGTTTAGAACACTGAAATGGTATGTGCCTTTGATTATGTCCCAGAGACCTCCAAAAATGACATCCAAATTTAATTTTACTATTCCGTGTTTTCAGCCAACATTTGACTACTAAGTATTTCCATATACAGCCATCTCCCTCTAAATTTAGAGTATACAGGATTCTAAAGGGAATGAAACATTTTCAACATTACATACAGTAACACCAGGTCCAAGACCAGGACAAGTAGGATCACTGCTGTTATGTCCTTCTCCTTGGTATTCAACCAAAACATCTGATCTCCAGGTCTTGTTTATTTCTCCTTTCTACAACAAAGAAAGGATTAACAAAAGTGGAAATTATTGCTTTTTACAGGCTCAGAGGCTGTCTAAATGTCTGTAATCAATCTATTTATAATCAATAAAACAATCTTAGAAATAAACTCAACAAATATGAGGACCCTCTCAATAATTTCATGATGAACAATTGTCTTTTTCTAATACCATTAAAACCACAACTAGTGAAAAATGCATTTATTTTCAGATAATCTCACATCGCTTAACTGTGCACAGGAAGAGGACATTTTGTCCATCTTGACCAGGATTCCCAAACTCACAGTGCTCATCTTAATTTTCCAAGAGCCACAGTGGCACAGTAGTTAAGAGTGCAGGACTGCAGACTACTTCTGCTGACTGCCAACTGCCAGCAGTTTGGCATATCGAATCTCACCAGCTCAAGGTTGACTCAGCCTTCCATCCTTCTGTAGTGGGTAGAATGAGGACTCAAATTGTTGGGGGCAATATGCTGACTCTGTAAACCACTTATAGAAGGCTGTAAAGCACAGTCAAGCGGTATATAAGTCTAAAAGCTATTGCAATTGCTGTTTCATAGAAAGCTGTTTTGCACTACCTCAAACCTGTTCAGTTTAAACAGAAATTATCCTTTCTGCATCTGAAGCATACTGCTTCAAACCAAGCTGTAAAGCAATTCATTCCTATAGTATTGTGATGACCCGGGGCGTGGCACAAAGGCAACACAGTCAAATAAGCAAGAAGAGTCCCTTTATTAGCCCCAACTTTGCCCCCAATATCCAGGCTACCTTCGGTTGGAGAAAGACTCTCCCAGGAACAGTCTTTAAGTGGAGGAAATTCAGTCCGAAAACAAAGTACATACAAATTGTAACTAAAAATTCAAACAAACCACGCTACAGTAATTAACTTGACAGGGCAGGAGAAGGATAGAGAAGGCTGTAAAGCACAGGATCCTGGATAAATATTTAAACTGAACAGCGGGGACAGAGAATTAATGGATTCAGAAAATTTCTGTCCCCAGCAACCTAAAACTAATCAGGATACCAGTGCATGCAAAATAGATGTTTGTGCAGGTAAGATTATCAGCCTTGATGCCAACCAAAACCAAGCATTTATTAGTGAGTGCCATACCACATGCACTAATCAAACAGGTGGCAAGAAAGTAGGGGCAGGCAGGCACAACACAGGTTATGTAGACAGTAAACACAGTGTCAGACATAAAGATTCAAGTGCCTATATACAAATGCACAAAGTCTGGGGAACAAACAGGGTGAACTCGAACTACGAATACATGAAGGTAAATATGATATAGTTGGAATAACAGAAACTTGGTGGGATAAAACCCATGACTGGAACATACTGGTCGAAGGATACAAACTATTCAAAAAAAAACAGACCCCATAAAAGAGGAGGTAGAGTTGCACTGTATTTAAAGGACCACTATATTGCTACAGAGAACTTGGGAAAGATTCCATGGATGAAAATCCTAAAGGGGAAAACAATTCAAGAATCTTGGGAAACTCTAAAAGGTATGATCATAGAAGCCCAGACCAGCACAATACCACTGAGAAAGAAAAACACGAAATCCAAGAAGAAATCAGCATGGCTACACAAAGATCTCTCTGGCAAACTGGAAGAAAAAAAGGACAAGTACAAAAAATGGAAAGAAGGACATACAACTAAGGCAGTATATCAGCAGATAGCAAGAACCTGCAAAGACAAAGTCAGGAAAGCAAAGGTTCAGAACGAACAAAGACTTGTAACAAAAGTCAAGGATAATAAAAAAAGTTTCTTCCAACATAACAAGAAAAAAATCAAGGAAACAGTCGGTCCACTAAAGAGAGAAGATGGCAGGGAAGTAACAGGCAACAGAGACAAAGCAGAACTGCTTAACTCATTCTTTGCCTCTGTCTTCACGCAAAAAGAAAGAGAACACCTGTCTGATCTTGATGAAAACAAATCACCGGGGCCTGATGGATTACATCCCAGAGTTTTAAAGGAGCTGGCAGAGGTCATCTCAGAACCACTGCACCATATCTTTCAAAAATCCTGGAGCTACCATAGGACTGGAAAAGAGCTGATGTGGTTCCCATCTTCAAAAAAGGAAAAAAAAAACAGACCCAGGAAACTATAGACCAATCAGCCTAACATCAATACCCGGGAAGATACTGGAAAAGATAATAAAAAAACAGATCTGCCAACATCTAGAAACAAGTGAGCATAGGTTTGTTAAAAACAGATCATGCCAAACCAATCTTATTTTATTCTTCAACACAGTGACTAAATTAGTAGACCAGCAAAATACTGTGGACATAATATATTTAGATTTCAGCAAGGCATTTGACAAAGTAGACCACAACCTACTTCTTAGTAAGCTAGAAAAAAGTGGAATAGATAGCACCACCACTAGATGGACTTATGGCTGGCTGGCAAACCGTACTCAACGAGTAGTCCTTAATGGGTCTAAGTCTACATGGAGGGAAGTAAGCAGTGGGGTGCCACAAGGTTCTGTCTTAGGCCCAGTACTCTTCAATATCTTCATTCACGACTTAGATGAAGGAATAGAAGGGGAACTTACCAAATTTGCAGATGATAACTAAGCTGGCAGGAATAGCTAACACCCAAGAAGATAGGCTCAAGATCCAGATGGATCTTGACAGACTAGAACACTGGGCCATATCTAACAAAATGAAATTCAATGTAGAGAAAAGTAAAGTCCTACACTTAGGCTAGAAAAACCAAAAGTACACATATAGACTGGGTGAAACTAGGCTCAATAGCAGTAACTGTGAGAGGGATCTTGGAGTCTTAGTGGACAACCAGGTAAATACGAGCCAGCAGTGTGCAGCAGCCGCCAAAAAAAGCTAATGCAATCCTAAATTGCATTAACAGAAGGATACAGTCAAGATCAAGGGAAGTACTAATACCACTCTATAAAGCCTTAGTAAGACCACACCTAGAGTACTGCATCCAGTTTTGGTCACCACATTATAAAAAAATATGTTGAGACTCTAGAAAAAGTACAGAGAAGAGCAACCAGGATGATTAGGAGACTGGACACTAAGGCATATGAAGAACAGTTACAGGAACTGGGCTTGGCTAGTCTAGTAAAGAGAAGGACCAGGGGAGACATGATAGCAGTCTTCCAATATTTGAGGGGCTGCCACAGGGAGGAGGGGGTCAAGCTATTTTCTAAAGCACCCTTAGGCCAGACAAGGAATAATGGATGGAAACTGAACAAGGAGAGATTTAACCTGGAAATAAGGAGAAATGTTCTGACAGTGAGAACAATCAACCAATGGAACAGCTTGCCCTCGGAAGTTGTGGGAGCACCATCACTTTCAAGAAGAGATTGGACTCTCATTTGTCAGAAATGGTGTTGGGTCTCCCGCTTGGGCAAGGGGTTGGGCTAGATGTCCCTTCCAACTCTGATTATCTGTTAAATCTGAATTGCAGACTTGAAAGCACAGCAAAGCACACACAGTTGGGAAGATGCCAGGAACCCAGATAAGCCTCAAGGAAATCAGATAATTCATGATTTGCTCCCAACAACTTGCTGTGCACAGCTTCCCTTTTCAAACACTGTGTTCCCAGCTGCAGCTAATGAAGGGAATGGGGACCTTTCCTCCCCCATAAGCCATGCAACTCATGTTGCTCCCTTCTCCGTTCCTGCCTGCGTGCCCTAGGATGAAGAGAGGGTGGGCCCGAGTCCTCCAAACCACCTCTCCCTTGCTCTACCTCTCCCCTGCTCTTCCCAGGGAGCCTTTACCCTTTTCCAGTTTCTTCCACAGCCAATGGAGCCATACTCCCACTCCCTGTCAGCTGCTCGGCCTCCCCCTCCGAATCAGATTCCGACAGGGGCATGACAAGTATTGACAGAAAAATGTTTGTGAAAATATGAGATTGATTGTTATAATCCAGTGACAGTTACACTATGGAACCCTAAGAACAATTTCCAAAATAAATATCTAATTTGTGCACTTACCAACAATGGTAATAATGACATTCCATCCATCTGGGTTTTATTCAGATCATAGCCTGCAATATCTAATATAGTAGGACCTAAATCAATGTTCGCCACAAGCATCTAGAAGGCAGGAATAATATTACAGATTTTCCAACTGAAACAATTAAATGTTAGAGATTTACAGAATGTCATAAAACTGGAGTTAGAAATAGCCAAAATTGCAGAAGTAACAAAACTGAAGCATAATTTCCTGCTTTGCTATTTACATATATAATCCCCAGCTAAAATTCTTGTCTCAGTGGATACTCTCACTTTAACTTAAACCTGATAACTGGTCACCTGGGATTAAAAAGACAACTTTTTTTGTTTTTAAGAATAGAGAATGGCGGCTCCCAGTATATTCTCCTGGGATCACTAGCAACTCTGGAGGTTATTGCAGATGATAAAATTTGTGAGATTTGTGGTTTCTCTAAATTTTAGTTATCTCTTGAGAATCTCTATTTAGAAAATGTTGCTGTGGAACCACAAATATTGCATGATTTCTGGATCAGGGGTATGCCCTACCATTGTTTGATAACATAGAGGTGCACACATGAAGAAGACGACTTAAAGCCATTCATTCAGAATATGAACATTCCATTTTATAATAAACAGAATAGTTACGTAGTAATTCAACTATTAGCCTAACCTCTTCCCATTCTTAATCATAAAACTACACATAAGGATTTAGAAGGGAGATTCATTCCAGTGTATACAAAATATATAAGCAAGAGAGAGAAAGGAGGCAGGGAAATCAGTTCCATATGATATATATCAGTATGTACATTTCTTATCCAATCCTAACCTCAATAAAATGATTAATTATATTAATGGGAGAGTGGTGTTCAACATTTTTTTTTATAATTTTAGAGGGTTGCAGCCCTTATTTGCTCGTGCCATTCACCTCCTATAGCAATAATACAATGTTTAAGCTTGGCTTGCAAATAGAAAACTTATCTAGTCATATGAGTAACAAATGCTTCCAAAGACTAGATAAGAGGCTTTGTAACAACTTTTAAAAAAATACCTCAGGTATTAAAATAAATGTACGATAAATTCTGCTTTTTACCAAGCAGATTCAGAAACAAATATTATTCGATTGCTTTACCTATATATGTACATACAGTTTTACTACATTCCCCTTCTTACACAGCCTATTTCTATTCAAAACATCTTGCATTCTTATTATACTCAACATATAATTCATACCATAAATGTTATGGTATCATACAGAGTTGTTCTCAAGGGAAAACATACCTTGCTTGTCTTGTTGGGTTTTATTCCTGGGCCTCGAACAAGCAATGGAACTTTAATATCAAATTCATACAGCTGCCGTTTGTCAATAGGCAAAGAAAACTGGCCTATAAATATAAAGAGCAGAAATTCTATCACTCACAATTTTCAAGAAATTCTGAAGCAAAATATTTCATTCTTCAGAGGTTGGTTGGCAAACTACTATTCTACTTTATCTGATCTTCATGAAATATTTTTGATTAGCTGCTCATCTGTTGGCTTGAAATTTAGAGTTTCTACATGATAATTTCTGAGGAGCATATATTATCATCCAAGTTGAAATAAATGATGTCCAATGAGTCTGTATTATTTCTCTCCCAGAAATATCACATTTTTAAAAAAAGTTTTCCAAATTTATACCTTGAACTCCTTAATTAATTCTAGGAATATTTTATAAATATATATATATATTACCCGTATGAAATCCATTGTCTGATGTGTAAAAAATATATGTATTATCCAGCTCTCTCTGAAACTGCAGTTTCTTCACAAGTTTTTCTATTAGATCATCCACTGACAGAAGTGTCTGCCATCTACATAGAGATAGGATTGTTCAGGTTAAAACACAAAAACTTTTAACAGCATTTTACATCTCACAAAAGACATTGATTTCACATATTCTACAAAGCCATGATATTTAGGTCAAGTACTCTCATCTTAGCTGGGCAAAGATTGCTTTGGATTTTTTTTTAAATTACTCGATTTGCTCAATTGTAAGAACACTCATGTGAAACAATAATTTTTGCCTACTGCTAAAGAGCAATATACTAGCATGCGCTGCTACATTTCACTATTTAGTTCTTCCATCAATAGAAGTAAGCAAATCATTTTAATTATTTTGTAAAGTTAGGGTGGATGAGCTATGGTAGTGCAGTGGTTAGAGTGCAGTACTGCAGGATACTTCTGCTGACTGCTGATTGCTGACAGTTTGATTCTCACCGGCTCAAGGTTGATTTAGCCTTCCATCCTTCCGAGGTTGGTAAAATGAAGACCCAGATTGTTGGGGACAATATGCTGACTCTAAACTGCTTAGAGAGGGCTGCTAAGCACTGTAAAGCGGTATACAACTGGTCCTCAACTTACTACAGTTCATTTAGTGACTGTTTGAAGTTGCAAAAGCACTGAATAAAGTGACTTATGACAATTTTTCACACTTATGGCCCATTGCAGCATCGCCATGGTCACCTGATTTACATTCAGATGCTTGACAACTGACTCACATTTATGATGTGTCCTGGGGTCATGTGATCCCTTTTTGCAACTTTCTGACAAAGTCAATGGGGAAGTCAGATTCACTTAACAACCATGTTACTAATTTAACAACTGTAGTGATTCACTTAATGAATGTTGAAAGAAAAGTTGTAAAATGGGGTGAAACTCACTTAACAAATTTCTCACTTAGCAAGATAAATGTTGGGCTCAGTTGTGGTCCTAAGTCAAGGACTACCTGTAAAAGTCTTAAGTGCTATTGCTATGACAGATTGCTTTTCTAAAGTACTATTAGCTTTATACTTTCTAAAGCCAATTTCTGTATCAAAGTAACAAATTGAAACATGCATTTTCATGTAAGCTTTTGATTTTGCAAAAACAAATTCCTATAAAAATTGTTTCCTACCTTTTTCTAAAAGCATCATCTAGAAATTGTATTGATGAATTAGTCATTGGAGTCTTTGCTTGTCTGATAAGCCAATGTTTGTCCTGAAAAAGCATTGTTAAAAAAGTGAGAAAAAATGTATTTAATGTTTAATCAACATTATATAACTCTAGTTGAAAATAACATGCAAAGTTTATAAGTCTACTCAGAAATAAATGGCACAGAATTCAGGGTGACTTGCTCTCAGTAATTAGGTATAGAAGAGGTATCCTTAGCTAGCTAACCTATTTATTTAATGCAATCATTAATTTCAAGCATCTTTTCCAAAATAAAAATTTGGCTGCCACATTTTGGCATTTGATCAATTTCAATGGTGACTATTGCTTAAATAACCCCATACTTAAAAAGACAAAGGAAATTTGAGCATCAGAATTTTCCATAAATATACAGTGTATTTTGCTACTTGCTACTTGTACTGTTTCTTCTACAAAGAAACCTAAACTCAAACATTACGATTTCTAAATGTTTTTATTAGTTTTCATTAATAAAATAGTATTGTCTGAGGGCAAGGTCTTACTAGACAAGACGAAAAACACCAAATATTGCTAAAGCACAAGGCCTTGAATAGAGGAATATGAAAAAAGAAAACACTAGCCAATATAAAATTAAGATATATATCATTATGCTTATATTATGAAACATCATATGCCCCTCATTTGAAATTGAAAACTAGAATCAGAAAGCACCAATCTAATCTGGTGTTGAGATTTTGACAAAATAAAATGTGGGTCTCTGTTTGCTAACTATAGACAACCCATTTTATTGCAAAGTGGGCATAGATCAGCATGTTCGAAAGAAAGACCTATCCGACCACAACCAAGCAATAAATATAATTTCAAGACAATTTGCATCAGCTTGTTAATAAATGCCTTAACCTTATTTCATAATCTTCAAACTAGATATGTAAAATTCTAATTAAATAATTGCATTTACTTACAATGCAATCTTATATAAACTGAAAAATGACCTCAGTTTTAATTATCTATATTCTCAAATAAACAGACAAAAGACGTCAGCAATAGTCAGATTTTTAAAACAAACAATTTAAAAGCATCTACCTTTACAGTTTTGCCTTAGAAATGAAAAAGCTGAATCATGCTTTGGATACAGATTTAACAAACCTGTGTCAGAATGCTAGGTAACAGGATGTAGGCAAACCTGTTAAAAATAAATTAGTCAAAAGAACAAAGTACTGTATACAGTCATATGCATCAGGTGGCAAAAAAAATGGGAGACAAAAACATGTAATATTCTAGGGGGAGAATATCCAGTGTAAACAAAACCTAAGAATTTTAAAAAACAAATTTGCTGCTACATATATTTACATAAGATTCTGAGGTCATGAAATTAAAGCAGGGATTCATTAAGAATATCTAGCAAATACTAACAAGAGTATCTGTAGAAAATCTAGAATCCATACCTTTCCATGGATATTGAAGTTATTATTTCTTGGAGCACTGACATTCTCAAAACTCTTCTTATACTGCGGAGCGGCTATCCAAGGTGAATGTGGTGCTGGTGTTGCTATCATCATGAAAAATGGCTCAAAGCTGGATTTGTATTCCAGAAAATCCAATGACACATTAGCCTGAAAGCAGATGCTTATTAATTTACTCATCATATTGATTCAGAACCAGGTGTCTCTAAGAGAATACCTCAAATTCACAAACCATTACATTTATTTTAAATGTCTTGTGTTTAGCATTCAAACTAAGTAACAAAGAAAAAATGCAAGGCAAAAGGGATAAACTGATTTTCAGATGCAGAAATTCAAGGATTAAATTTATAAAGAGGAGAAACAATCCCTACGCATCTTGGATATAAAACTGCAATGAAGTATGATGGTTATGATGAGGATAACCTGGGCAAGGTTCAGGAATGCCTTGATATAAAAAAAATACTACAGAAAACTAGGAACTACAAAGAGATGTGCAGCAAATTCGTATCCTAAATAATTTCATAAGTACAATGAGACATGCATTTAAGAGTTCAGAATTTACTCTCAGGATTTCATTCTTTTCATCATACGGTGAACAATTTGAGCAATATGCTACTTCCAGACAGACAGCCATATTAGGACTGTATACCAAAAGAATATCCTGTGGCATTTTAACATAGATAACTATATTATGGCTAACATTAGAAGGACTGCAGTCTAATCAACTACACTGAAGTTTGCGCGTAACAAATTTATCATTTTATGGACATTCTGTGTAAACTAGTTAGTAGAAGAAATAAATCGGCTAAAACTAGTTGAAAAATTCTTACCAGTACATCTGTCAGATAATCCATGCTGTAGTTCATACCATGCCTACGTGCTTTTCCATTTACTGAAAGTCTGTAGTTATAATATTTGGAGTTTTTTTCCTAGCATACGAAAATAAAAATATAATGCTTATGCCCAGGAAAGAGACAATAGAACAAAACCAATATCCTTTAGAATTTTGGCTTATTGAGCCAAATTCTGATATATGCCTTCCAATTGGCTGTCATATTTATGTATGAATTATGACCCTAGGGTTGTTTCTCCTAATCATCTAAAATCTTACCTATCTAAAATAAATCCTATGTAATGATCCTGGCTTTGAGCAAATCAAATTAAGGCTACCATTTCAGAGATAACACTAAAAGAACTTGCAGGAAAAAGTTTTCTGGTTTAACAATTAAATACTACCAATCAGGAAGCATCTACTATTATACTTAATCTGAACAAATCAGAATTCTTATAATCTTGCCTGAATTTGTCACACAGGAGTATTGACATAATCTCTTTAGGTTACAAAGAAACAACTTAAAATCATAGCAGATATCAATCTTAAATAGTTTCCCCAAAAATATGACCTACCCCCAAAACAAGTCCTAGTCTAATTTTCATGCCTGTGTCTAAGCCCTGCCCCCCAAATAAGCCCTTATAAAGCCTCACCCAATGTCTGTTTGACTAAGGTGGGTGCAGGTGTAAAAAACAAGCTTGGGGGGGTGGGAGCTGCCCCATGCACCCGGCACCTGCTTACCTAAGGACCACTGCAGTCAGGCGCCCTATGCCTCAACACCTGTCATGCCACTGTCTGATTTCTGCAGCCGCTTGTGTCTGGATGCCCCATGGCGCATCGCACCGGTGTCGCCACTTGCAACGGCACAATGCACCATGTAGCTTCCTGCCACAAGCGGCGGCACCGGTGTGAGGAGCCACCTGGCATTCTGCAGTCGCAGAAGTCGGGCTCTAGCGTGACAGGTGTCAGGGTGTAGGAGGCATGGCTGCAGTGGTCCTAAGGTAAGTGGGTAAGACATCCCACCAAAATAAGACCTTATTTTGCTTATTTTGAGGCTGAAAAGAAAACAAGACTGGGTCTTATTTTCTGGGAAACACGGGGTATTCATTATATACAAATTTATGTATAACACAATTGTGCAATAAACACGTAGGTATTATCCCATTCTTAATACACATCTTTTTGAGGCATAGATTAAGGTATGCCAGAGAAAATAACATCCTGTTTAAAACTACATATAAGTACATATAAAAGACATTAAACTATTGATTTAATGAAAAAACAATGAAGAATACTGGATGTTTCATTAATAAACTGGAGCACATTGAACTTTGCAAGACCATAAGAAAACCTATCCAAGAAAAAACATATCAGTTTAATGTGAAGCTTGTGAATAAAAGCAATTGAAGAAAACAAAGGGATTAATAAGAGCAAAATGCAAGCTTATAAATACAAGAATGAATGTGTTTACATTAAATATAAAGATGGCTTTGTGTGTAGATCAAGACAGGAAATGTTAGAAATAATTGGAAAATTCTATCCAGAGCTATACAAAGATCACTCAAAAGTAACAATATCCACAAAAGAGGAAATGTCAGATATCCTAATAGAGGAAGTATTGAGTGTCATAAAATCAATGAAAAATGGCAAAGCTTCAGGAAATTACCTTGTTACACTTGAAAAGCTGACAGTTGGTGGTCAGAATTTATACAACATACTAGCAAAATTATACTCGAGATGCCTCAGAAAGGAAAAAATACCTGATGCATAGAAAAATGCTGAAATGATTCTTATACACAAGGGGCCCAAGATGATTTAAAAAACTATTGCCCAATAAGCCTCTTTCAGTCATCTACAAGGTTTTCACCAAGATAACAACAAAAAGAATATTGAGAATATTAATTGATGCACAGCGAAGGAGCAGGCAGGCTTCAGAAGTGGCTACAGCATAATGGATCCTGTCCAGGTTGTTAAGCAATTCATTGAAAGGAATGAGTACACTATTCCTCTGTGCATGGCTTTAATAGACTATGAAATTCCAAGCAAACAATAATTAATGCATTGCTTCATCAAGGCGTAGACACTGCTTAAATAAACTTACTACAACCAATATATGAAAAAACAGTGGCAACAATTTGCTTTAATGATCTTGGAAATCAACATATGACAAGGCGATACAATATCACTTATCCTTTTCTCAGCCTGCCTCGAAGAAGTATTTTACAAATTAGCTGGGAAAAAGATGGAATAAAAATCAATGGCACCTATTTAAATCACTTTAAGATTTGCAGGTGATGTTCTCTTTTCACAAGATTCAAAGAGCTACAAAGACACCCATACAAGAGCTGTACAAGGAAGGAGAATCATTTGGCTTACAAATAAACCTGAATGAGCCAGGTTATGTTTACTAAATTCACCAAAGAAAGAAAAAAAAATATCTGGAGAAGAAGTAGACATAGTAGATATAGTAAACTACTACATATACCTTGGCCAACAGATATCAATGAAAGTGATACAATAAAGGAAATTCAATGGCGTGTTAAATGTGGTTGGCATGCATTGGGCAAGCTAAGCATACTTTTCAAGAGCGACCTCCCCCTAAGCCTGAAGAGAAAAGTTTTCAATCAGTGTGTGCTATCTGCTCTAACATATGCTGGTGAAACATGGACACTATTTTTACTGTCACAATCGATACAAAAGCTACGAGTAATGCAAAGAGCCATGGAAAGATACATGCTCAGCATTACAAGACAAGACAGAAAGACCTGCACATGGATTAGAAAACAAACAAAGTATACAATATCATCAATGGGCTGGTCACAATAGCAAGAACAACTGATGGAAGGTAGACCACGGCAGAGTGGATCCCACTTGATAAAAAGCGTCCACAAAAGAGAACTAAAACAAGATGGATCGACTACATCAGCAAGTATTGCAGGCCCAATTGGCAAAAGAAAGTTCAGAACTGTATTGGTTGGAAACATATGGAAGAGGCCTTCATCCTGCAGTGGATAGATGATGAGGATGATGAGGATGAAAAGACATACATATGTCCTTCTTTTATACTTACCAAAGCATACCAAAAACTCCATCCAGGAGGAACATGGGCAAGTCCTCCTGCATCCTCTGCTCCATACTGAAAATAAAAATCTAATATTAAAGGAGGTTATTTCCTCATTTTCTCAGCTAAAATCTTAAGAGTATCCACAACAGGCCCTAGAAGAGGTTTAAAGAGTGTACCAAAGCTATCTGTCTACGAAATAAAAAGCTTTAAGGTAAAATAAATGACATGTTTTCTTCATGTAGATTTTTTTTTCAATTGGAAGAGGCAATCCAAGTTGCAAATATTGAGAGTTTGCATATAATTGCCTAATCCCTTATAGGCATATATGGTTCTATAACCAACAAATGACTTAATCAAGAGCTTCATTATTAAAAATAACATTTACTTGGGGAGAGGTGGCTTCTGATGTCCCAACCTTCCATTATTTCAGTTATAAACAGGCTCTTAAGAACAAGTAGCTGATTATTCTCCATTGAATGCCACAAAACGTACCACAAACTCTCTCACAATATTTAGATAACATGTACTTATGATAATTAAAATAAGGCAATTCAACTAATTCCCATGGTATTTAAGTACTGCATAAATTATTGATCTTACATTAATACATACTCTTATTATAGATTAATTTTCAGGAGCATGACTTTCTCCTATATATAACATTTAGATTTAGATTAATCCAAAGAGCTTCTATTTTCCTTGTGCAATCAGTGATTTTATACATGCAAAAATCTTTTAAAATTGATGTTTCAAACAATATATATCATATACCTCATTCAAATATTTTCCAGCAAAAAATGTTTGATAGCCACACTCAGACCTGAGTAGAGCTGGAAAGGTATATGGCTCCTGAATCTTCTGCCAGGATTTGCTGCTGCAATTTCCTTCCAAAGTATTATTTACAACATGATGATTATGTGGATATTTTCCTGTCAAGATGCTGGCTCTACTAGGACAGCACAGTGCACTGGGTACATACTACATGAAAAAAATGATTATAGAATTAGATAGTACAACACTAATTTCCTACATTCCTACATTTCAGTCTAACTTTTACAAGAAAATTAACATAAACAGATTGGTAATTGTAGTAATTTAGTAGATTTAGTAATTTCCATCAAGTTTAAAAAACTATTCTACATACAATATCCAAATATATTTTAAAATATTTGATGACATAATATCCACTCACCAAAATAAATACCTCTCATTAATATATATTAGTGGAAAGGGCAGAAGTTCCAACAATACTGTGTCCTAGTAGTCAATTAGCTTGCTTGTCAATACACTTATGATTTTTTTTCATTTGAAAAGGATATTATAGAGCCATAGAAACTCTAAAAAATATAATCATAGTGATCACAGTGATACAGAATTGCCATCTCTGATATTTTGCTGAAATAAAATGTTGGAAAAATCTTATTTTCTAGCTAGGCAACACCAGAAAACTATTTATTACTTTTTGCTTGATATTAGTTTTTGCTTGATATTATAACCTAGTAATTATTTTAATTTTATATTTATAGAATAGAATGAGTGACAATTGCAGTTTCCTCATTACTGAAATGAACAAGATCTTTATTGCAAAAATATTTTTACAACACACAAAATAATAATCAAATGTGTCACATTTTAAAAGAATATTTTAGCATTTTTTCCAGTTTACTGCCAAATGTTAACTGACTTCTGGAATACCGTCTGAGGGAACAGTAATAAGAAAGATCCTGGACTGCGCAAAGATGAACAGGCTGACCCTTGAGTTAAAAGATAAAAATGAAACTGAATACTATCTAGTCTGGGACACCTGGTATATCTGGCTGGACAATAAGATGTAAAAGGAATATAGCAATTGATATATGAATATGAATGATAACGATGCTGTAACGTTGGAAATATAAATGTTTTTAAATTGTTGAAAAATGTCTAATAAAAACTATTTAAAAAATAGAACACAGCACTTCAATTAATACTTCAATTAAACCAAAGCACCATTTAAATTGCAAACTCTTCAAAAAATACTGAAATATCCTGAAGTGCTCTAATTAATCTCCAAACATATATATACTTTGAGCATTGGAATAATGTTTTCCCACATGGCTTAAACAACCTCATTTACAATGCTCTTTGGGTTTGTATAATAATACTTGTACTCCAAATCCCCTCAAAATCTCTCCCAGTAATTTGAGATGATAACCAACAGGAAGGATACATCCAGTATTGATGGAGAACATAAGCCAAATAAGAAACCCTCCTAAACTGCCTCTCACCATCCCCTCATTATCTTTGTGACTAAATTTCTAGAAAGAACAATTTCCACCATGCATGCCAAAATTCCAACCAACATAAAAAGGGAAATCAAATTCCTATCAGTTTTTGATAACAGCTTAAGTGCCACCCAGATGATTATACTGTAAGCATGCAGAATGTCCTTAATTAAGGAAAAATTACCAAGTAAACTTTAATGTTGATAGAAATCATTGAATCTAATTAAGACAATGCCCAAACCTAACAAATAGCTCAGAGTTCTCTGGTGTTGCCTAGCTAGAAAATTAAGATTTTTCCCAAAATTTTACTTCAGCAAATTATATTCTGAAGTATTCTGCATCACAGTGATTTCATTAAATTTTCTAGAGGTTCTAAGGCTCTATAATATCCTCTTCAAATGAAATAAATCATAACTGTATTTACAAGCAAGCTACCTGACTACCAGGACACAAAATTGTTGCCCAGCTCTTTCCTTGACTTTAATTATTCATGCCTTGAGTCAGATGCCTTCTACAGTCTTTCCTTATAACAATCAATTTTGCAAAACCCACCACAAACTATGTACTTACTGCATTTGAGAAAGTTAGGCCCATTTCTGCAATAAGAGCATTGGTCTTTTTCAAAGGTGTCTGAAATAAAGGAAATATATAAAGAACTGTACTTTGTAAACAAGGAAATTTCATGACAATCTTAAGATTTACTAAAAAGTAAATACTACATTAACTAGAATTTTTCCCAACTGCACATTTTGAGGAGATGCGTACACAGTATTGCAGCTAATCCAGAATTTTGATGTTGCATCAAATCTTCAACAATTACTTTATAATTGCAGACTAAGAAGCCAATATTGTTTTAGTACTGAAATCTCAAAATTAGAAACAAATTATTCCATAATTTCAGTATTATATTAAATTCTTTCATGGAAAATCATCTGATTTCTGCTCAGAGATGTTTCTTTTTTAGGAATAAGCATAGAGATGTAAAGTAGATGCTATTAACATGTTACAATAGTAGAATTATATATTACATAGAAAATATCTTTAATTTAAATATTGTTTTGATGCTTCAGTCAGTAATGAGAATAGTATGTAGTAAACAAACTTTTTAGAAAATATATTTTAGAAAAATGCCATTCACAGCCAATTCTGATGGGTAATTCAATAAATATTCTGAATTTGTCTTTCCAGTTTCCATGGAATCTATTTTAAAGTATTCAAAGATTGCTTCAGGACTCTGCTAGTATTTTAAATAGGATAACCCTGAACCTGAAGCACAAACCAGATATTGTTCACACCCCAAAGAATGTAATAACAAACCTTGAGGCAGAAAACCCCACAAGCATTTCTGCTACCCATAAATTAAGTAATTTCCTTCCTTTTATATCACAGAATCAGCTGCTGCAAATTCTAGAGCAGTCCCTGCTAAACACCAACAGATGCAACTGTTTCCCAAGCCTTTCCACACTTCTAGTTGTATCAACACTTACTTTGATTGGTTCCACTACAGGTGCATACAGGATTGTATGCATTTCACCTATACACCACCATAGCTGCAACTGTTTTTAAAGTATAGTAAGAGTCCCTTTTTAATCCCTTTTTAAACCCTGGAATGGAGAAACAACCTCACACCAAGTCTAATGGATGTGTGTTTGTTGCTTCCTTGATTACCGGTCGACTTCAATCCTCAATTTCCCCGGGCCCACCTAACACACGTTAACTTCTATTCAAGAAGTTTGATTTGTCAATCGCTTAAAAGATAATAGGTATAGGTATAAACATAGTTATGAATACGTGAAATGGATACATATAAGAAAAATAAAGAAATACTTCAGTTCCCGTTTCCCTTCCCCTTATTCTTGCACGTTTGCTCAGAACTAGTCCCATAATGCCCTCTCTCCACTGCAAGCTGCAGAAATGCAAAGGAGTAGCACAGACGTATGACCAGGACACCCTATCCTGGGTTCTATGGGCACCGAAGTGGTTCCAGAGTGGTTTCTTCCCCCCCTCAAAGATCACAGGGCTTTTTCTGCGCATTCTTCACTACCACATTGGACACTCTTCGATTCCGAACCACCCGCATTCACTTCTTCTGCTACCCGAGGGTCCATCTCCCCATCCCATCCCCACGACGCGCAGAACAAGGCTACCATTCCCCCCAGGTAGACATCCTGGTCGTCTGTCAGAATCAGCACCACATTGGGTTTCCGCTCTCCGCCGAGACCGGCTGCCCCTGCTTTAGCAGTAGAAACGAGGACCAGCAGGAACACCAAAGGCCGAGCCAGAACCGGGCAGGCTCGAGCCATCCTTGCATCCGAGCCAGGCGCGAACGGAAGGGAAAGACGAGAGCAGTTAAAGCACCAGACCGCGTAAGAGTAGTCGCGAGACAAGGAGGCGTAGCACGCTTCCTTATTTCTCCTCTCCTCTCCTCTCCTATAGGCTGACGGACGGAGCCAAATTAGGTTCACGTGACTTGGAGACCTCCGGCAGCTTCCGCGAAGGCCGTAAATGCGCTCCGGGTCCTCCCACTCGCTCTGCGTTGCTGCCGCGTTCCGGTTGTGATTGGCTCCGATCGCTTCAGCCGTCGGATTTCTTCGAGGGAAGGTGTCTGAGGGGGCGGCGTCAGGATTTCATTGGTATTAAGACGCCGAGTCCTATCACCTGTTTAGGGGCTGGGTGTTTGTCTCAGCTTTGAAGCATATCAATCATAAACAATGGTGTATTACTGTATAATCCTTTACCAAATCATGGAACAAAACGTTTTGTTTAAAAAAAAAACCCACAAGGAAACATAATTACAAACAGTCCTGTCAAATTAGCTACCTCGTAGATAATTTGTATCCAACAACTTTAGTGGTGGGCATTGCAACAGTTCATATCTATCTGATAACAACGGTTACAATTTTCACATTTAGCTATAGATGTATGCTTTTAACTTATGATAATGGCCAAAATATGCATAAATTCATTAATTAAAATCTCAGACTATTTTTTCTGTTGCAACAAGCCAACATTGTTGGTTTGTGAATTCTTTATGAATTGTTTTTAACTTATTTAAATGCTGTTCATTCTGTGCACAAAATGTCATACTGTATGTTAAATCTTTCTGCCTCTCAGATTGAAAATAAAACACAAGTAACTGAAATTTGACCTTAAGACAGTCTTTTAGCACAAAGAAAGTTAAAAAGGGGAGGTGGTTTTCCAGTGGCCTGGACATACGATTGCCATGAATTATTTGGGGAAGCATTAAAATTCAAATCATGATTTATGCTTCTGAATTTTATGGAGAGGAAAAAAATATTGTAGTTTGCCCAAATAGACATCTTTAATAGCCTTCTATAAATATTTTATCACTTTTGTTCCTAGGAAGAGAAGCAGATTTTGACATCAGGTTCAAATAGGAGAATATCCAAATGGCTGTCAGGTTCTGTTTTCCCTAGAACTGGAAAAAGTGTGTAGAAAAGTACTTAAGAAAAACATTTTTAAAATGCTATGTAAAGATTATTTATTTTAGTTTAATAATAGCAGTTCCGTGCTAAATTATCCTGAATATTGCCAAACAGCAAATTTTTCATTATTTAACTAGTATATTTCTTATAGAACTAGAAGTACCCATCCAGAATGGAAAATTTTGTATGCAAGTAGTTGCAGTTCTATAAATTACAAATAAGTTCTATAGCTCTTAGGCATTCTTTATTTCATCAGCTTAATGCAATCATGAAAAGAATCAGTCATAAATATAGGTTTCCTGGTCTGTTATTCTTCCAATCAAGATGTATGCTTGGAGTAATAACTCTTAGGCTGTATTTGCATGATAGTTACTTCTGGTTCAGAGGTGGTATTCAGCAGGTTCTAACTAGTTCTGGAGAACCGGTAGCAGAAATTTTGAGTAGTTCTGAGAACTGGCAAATACCACAGCTGACTGGCCCTGCCCCATCTATTCTTTGCCTCATAAGTCCCAGCTGATTGACTGGGCCTTCTTTTGTTGCCCTGCACAGGAGAACAGAGCTGGAAAGTAGGTTCGTGGGGTGGGGAGGGAATGGGGATTTTACAGTAACTTTCCCCCAGGAGTAGGGAGGGAATGGATATTTTACAGTATCCTTCCCCTAGGAGTGGGGGGGGGGGGGGAATGGAGTTTTTACAGCATCCTTCTCCTGCCATGCCCACCAAGCCATGCCCACAGAACAGTAGTAAAAAAATTTGAATCCCACCAGTGTTCTGGTTAACTATGGTTTGTTCTGTCCAGTGCTTTAACATCTGCATAACATATGGAACACAATCCACTAGGCTAAGAGGTCTAATCTGGGATCCAATGCATTTTGTGAACACAGCCTTAAACTGAGGGTGAAATAGAAATTGCATGAAAAGTGAGGTGTTGTGTTGCCATGAATCAGATAAAATTATGATCCAGATTTTAAGTAATGCTTGTTTTTAATTTCGTCAATGTATAAAATTTTGATTTTTTTTTCTTTAAAATGTCTGTATTTATATGAGATGCTTTATCCACACATTAGCCAAGTATTGGTCACTTTATGATCCAGTATGCCACACAATTTTTAAATGTTGGGTTGAGTATGGGTTAATTCTTGTGTAATCTAATAATTCCTATTCCAAACATGTTTTATAAATGAAATATCATAGGTTGATACTTCTGACCTGTAAAAATAACTTTTGTGCACATATTAAAATGTTTTAGCTGGTATGGTTATGTTTAACTGGCATGAAGTTTGCCTACATTTATAGTTTAGTTTATGGCAGTGGCTGCGCTTATCCTTTATTAATTTACTCACAATAAACTTGACAATCTGACTTTAGACAACACATCAAACTAAACTATCACACTGGCTGGATTTACACAATGAGTTGCATTATAATTTGGCCAGTCACATAACCAGTTTGGTCTAGTTGTGGTTAAGACACCAGAATATAAACTGAATTCTAGTCCTGCCTTGGGTATGAAAATCAGCTGGTTGACTTTAGGCCAATCAAATTTAACCTAACGAGTTGCATGTTTCCAGATAAACTGCATTCGTTAAATAATTGTTAATATTGGGTTATGTTGTCCAAGGAAAGCTACAGTTTTGCTGTCCATTCACTTTTATTTATTTATTTTATTTATTTATTTGATTTGTCAATTGTTTACAAGATATATGTATAACTGTATACATAGTTGTGAATACATGAAATGGGTACATATAAGAAAAATAAAAGAATAAGAGAAACAATAGGACAGGGACGGTAGGCACGTTGGTGCGCTTATGCACGCCCCCTATAATGGTGTATGGTTTTCCTTTGCAAAATGCAAAATTATACAGGTCAGCCCCAGCTATTAGCTGAAATAGAATCATTTGATTTTGCTACATGTACCAGTTTCAGTGTGAAACCTGGATCACTTGCTCTAAGTCCAAATTGGTTAGCGCATAACCGGCCGGTCCCATTTACTGCAGCGGGAAGGACTGGTGATTCGAAGTGAGCTGATTGGCTCCCAGCAACAGGTGCCGAGCGGGGATTCTTTGGAAGCCACTACCTGTTAGAGGGGTGAGGAAAGCAAGCCGAGAGTGTCGCAGTCTAATAGAGCTGGGAGGGATGTGACGCTCTGCCGGCGCAGGTCGTCCGTGGAGCAAAAGGGCTTTCCCTTCCTCTTCCACCTCCGTTTCGTGGACAATGGGACAAACCCGGAACTCTGGCCTGAGAACTCTTCAGCCGGCGAAAGCGTTGCTGATCTCCTTCTCATAGCAGCGGCCCTTTGCAGCCGCTGCGCCCGAGGCGCGGAGAAGGAGCCCAATGGAGCTCACGGAAGTCGACCTGGGCGACGGCAGGGAGGGTGCTGGAGCAGAAACTGGCAGGTGCGTTGTGGAGCTGCCTGTTCGGAGCAGAGTAAGTAGCAACGCGGGCAGCCTGGTGGAGGACGAAGAGGTGGAGCAGGAGCCCGGTCGGAGCAGAAGAGCCAGCCGCGCCCCCTCTCTGGTGAGTGGGCTGCTAACCGAGCTCTACAGCGTGGCGCGCGTTCGCCACCGCGACAGCCTAGACAGTTCCACGGAGGCGTCCGCCGGCTCCGACGCCTTCCCCGGGGGGAGAGGCAGCAGCGCTGAATCCCGCGTCCTGCAGGAGCTGCAGCGGAACTCGGGTCAGCGGCACCAGAGGAAGTACCTGGCTCAGAAAGGTAAAGCGGACAGAGGATGCCTCCAAGGTTTTATGTCGTTCTGTCAATGGGGAATATTCCCCCGGCCATATATCGAACAGGGGGCTGGCTTCTCTGAGGGACAAGCTGGGCTCGGTCTGCGCTGGGGAGTCTTTCTGGGAGTAAAAGCTGGGGAAGCAAGCATGTGACCCGTCTGGAGGAGGCAGAGAAAAGATAAAAATCGTGATTATGATAAACGGAGCTCCATTAAAATATAGGTAAATGCCCAGTTCTGCTTCTAAATTTATGGCAGGGCTGTAGGAATTCAGTTTGAGATAAAAGGTAATAAACAGCAGTGTCTAATGTCTAGAGGATTATAAAAATAAAACCCTTTAAACTTTGATACTGCTTTTTTATTTGCCCTGATCCCCTTATTTGAAGGAAGCGTTTCAGTTAATTGAGACATATGTCAGTCAAAGCAAGATTTTCCTTTCTTGTTTCTTATAGGATTTCATTTTGTTAATTTTCTGACAGGATTTTAACATTATTCTTGTGCCCCAATTCCTTTCAGTTAAGCAGAGATTTCCCCCCCCAACTGCCCCCCCTAAAGATGAGATGGAAAAAAGAACTCAACAGGGACTAAGAAGCAAAATTTTCCCCATATCTCTGCACTTCCCAAGTTGCTTTCTTGAAGGCTGGTTATTTTCTTTTGCAAAAAGCATTATTATCCAGCACATATAATTAATTAATGCAAATCTTAGGGGAAATGTATATTACACATTAATTAATGCACATATAATTAATTAATGCGTAATATACATTTCCCCTAAGCTATGACATTTAAGGATTGATGCCTGGATTATCTCTCAATTGTTGCTTCCTTTGTGCTGTTGTTTTAAATGATAACTTCTGGGCAGGTTGCTTTTTACTGATGGAAAGTCTTTTTAAATAAAGATGATTCAAATATTTTAAAATATTAAGCAAGAGGCTGTTCCCTATTCTGTCTGCAATAGTGACATGGTGATCTTAACAAGAGGTTTACAAGGAAAGGCACTTTATAAGGATAGGAATTATCAGCCTCCTGATAGAAATGTGAGTGATCACATTTTTGAATTGTGAGTGATCACATTTTTGAATTTTGAACTGAATTTTTCTCTGATTGGAGTTAATTCCAATTCTGGATAGAAAGCTTTCTAAAAGTAGCGCTCTGCTGTTAGCCTCTTGTTATTTCACATATTTCATTAGTCTATAACTCAGTACTGAACCTTTAAAGTGTCTTTACAATAAAGTTTGTGCTATCATTTTTGT